TTTTTTTTTTAAGATAAAAACTGAAAATTAAAGATACGCAAACCTGATTTAGGGATCTGATGCTTTGATATCAAGATGATGAGAACCCCAAAGAGAACAATGAGAGCTAAATCAGGTTTATAATAGGACATTGACCTGTTGTTTATGTCGCAATAAGAACCAAAGGTAAAAAAACGTTGACCCGTTGTCTATGACGCAACAAAAACCAAAGGTATAAAGTTGGTTGACGCCACACCCTCGAACGATTAAGAATGAGAATGATAAGTCAGGTTAGAACGCCACAAGAATAATCTTGATAAGTTCTATAAAGTTATGAAATGAACCAAAGAAAAAATCTCTCAAAAACTCAGATTCAATAACTCCCCCCAATTAGGGTTACAAGCCCTTTAAATAGGGAAAAGTAATTCTAATCAGAATAGGAAACTAATACCTTAAGCCATAATCCTAATAACCACAAATTGGGCCTTAAATAAATGAATGTTCAACCCAAAATAATACAAAAAATGTGAAAATCACTGAAAGTAATCTAAAGTAAAAATGAAATATTAGTTTGTTACAAATTGCAACCGAATTGCATGATTTTGACGCAAACTGTGTAATTTAGCATAAATGACCTCAATTAAGCTTCTCTTGAATCTGAATGATGTTTACCATGCCTTGATAATTATCCAAGTTTCGATTTACTTGTTGCATGTTGTTATCGATCCAGATATGCTCAATAAGACCATTTAAAACTGCTCGCATCTTCCTAGGTCTAGCTCTCGTGACTGGACCTCCTAGAATGTGTAATGGATCTCTTGACGTGGTACATGTGGGGTCATCTTGATTCCCATCAATGCTCATGATGACAACCTATCTACTTATAGCTATGTATATACCCTATAGCAATTATTTATGCAATCCATTGTTATTGATGGTCCTATTCACTTAATTGTCCAAATCAATCTTGAACAAAATCTTCTATAAATAGAGCTATAGGAATTGCTTCCATTTTGGTTAAGTAGCTTCCGCTTAGGAATTTATGAAATCTCTAATCCTTAATAATATTCTGTATGTTCCTATCAAAAAGAAATGAAAATAAAGCTTGTTCAATTAAATGTTTTTTTTTTCTTTTTTTTACTAAATCTCCCAGTATTTGAGGCAAAAAAAAAAAATCTTACTATTCAAAATCCACATTAAATTTTAATTAATCTAAAATTAAGTCATGTTAACCCAATAAGCAAAAAACTCTTTCAACACTTATTTCTTTATTTACAAAACTCAAACTTTTAAACCTTATTTAAGAGAAGGTAAGCTCCATTCACTTGCACAAACAAGTTATTGGTTCAATTAAATGCTAATAGTATCGATCAATTTAAAAGATGTTAATCAATTTAAAAATTGATACACGTATAATATATATATATATATATATATATATATAGAGCGTTTAATTTACTTCAATCCCATTTTAGGCCTACTCAATTATACCACAATGGACGTTAAGAAATATATAGAGGCAATTTCCATTTTCCTTTTTCCTTTTTCTTGGCACATAGGCAATTCCTCTCGATCAAAAGCATAGAAGACAGGTTGATATTTAAATGAAATGAACTATTTTATTGTTAATATTGTTGTCATAAATCTAATTTGATCGATTAAGAGAAAAAAAAGGGGAAAAACTTCCCTCTAATGTATCAGTAGAATTTTTTTTTTGGGGTCAACTGATAATAAATCATTTACCCGCCAAAGAATATAAATCCATTGAGGGGCAGACCTCAATTAATTATTTTACTGGGGAAGGGAAGAGAACATTTTCAATTGCAAAAGTCAGAATCCGAAGAGGAGTAACACCTAGCCACAAAAAAGTAGGACGAGTTCTGCAGCAGTTTACTGCTATTCAAATCTGGAACTTTAGCTTGGCTGAATAAACCAAACACCAGGGCATTCCTCTTTCAAGAGGCTCTGCATTCAATAAATTGCACAGTGAAGTACTGCTTTATGCCCATTTTATACTGCCGTCGAATTGCATATACACTCTGGGTATGGGTTTTCGTAAAATGATTCTTCAGTTCTGAAACGTGCTTTCCCTTTAATTCCTGGAGAAGAACATTTTCTTCTTTTTGGTGCTCCTTGTCTTTAAAAGAAAATAAAATATGAGAAATAAGTCAACATGAGGTCATTTTGTCACCTTAATAACAAAAAAAAAAAAAAAGGATAAAATTAATTATGATATACTTTACAAAAACTATTTAAATGATATAAAACAAAATGGAGAAGCTTCAACTGAAATTCACAGATACCCAGCATAGCAGGTGTAGCTCATGAGGAAATGCAAGAAAGTCACCTGTTGTTGTGCATCTGCTGCACGAGATAAGAAAATGAAGGTCCTTCACTTAGTTGTCCACTTTCTAAATCATCAAAAAGTTGGACGAGACCTTTCCTACAAATAGAACAAAAATTCTCAGAACACAGGAGAATGAGGAAGCATATTGTAGCATATGTATATTAAGAATGCCAAGGAAAGTTAATGTTATACAAAGAATATGATCAAGAATATCGGGTTATCAAAGATAGATGCGTGTCAAATGTCAAGTAACCTTAGTTTACGTGAGGTAGGATAGTTGAGAGGAATCATTTAAAGGCAAGCAAACATATCTGAAGCAAGATGGGCTAGTGCCAAGCCTAACACAGCACATGCAGGACATGTGGGGCACATGCAAGCACACGTCAATGGTACCCAAGATTCTCATTAATTGTATTATCAAAATGCCACCTCATCCAAATAGTGAGCACCACAACCCTAGAATCTCACATGCCCTCTTACAAAGGCACAAGGATCAGTCACTTGTGTCTTCATTACCAATGGACTGCCATGAGCATCAAAGTGCTTTTTGGAGGATACAACTCTTAACGGCTTCCGTTTTGTTTCTTGTGCACGAAGTAGTTTTCCTTAACCTAGATCACAATTGGCAAACAACATTCAGTGGGGTGAGCATGGTTGGTCCCTTTTTGTTTCTTTTATGAAGTCATCCATTTGACATCGTCATTCTTTTCCTCTCTCCATTGGGAGTATAAACTTGATAGATACCTCATCTTGTTCTCTTTCTAAAATCCATCCTTGTTCTTCGCTCAAGAAACAAGGCTCTTGGGGGGATGCAAACACCGTAGGGATAAGCAAACTTGATAACTGGCAGGAACACCTACCTCATGGCGTCTCCATTAACACATAGATTGTCAACTTTGGTGTGTAAAACAACTTGATGAGCACAATTCTTGGGTAATCCCTTTAGCAACTGTGATATCCCAGTCCTTATTTACAATAAGTTAAAGAGAATAAGCCCCTATTTGCATTAAGTTTATGTTAGAGTCTATCTCATCTAGAATTAGGGACAAATAAATAATATTTGTTAGTTAGGGGACTGCATGTTAATTTAATAAACTGCAGTCCTAGTGTCTATCTTAAGGAGACTTTAATGTAGTCCAGCTGTCAATAACCTGTTAAAATAAATAACAGGTGGATGGGTGAGAAGTGGGCCAAGTGGGGGAGCATTTAAGACCCCCTGACCAGAGCTTCTTGAGCCATATCACTTAATTAGCTAATTTCCTACATTTTGCTTCTAGCTGGACCAAAAGAGGAGAGGGACGGTGTAGATGGACTGGGCAAATTTGGGGAATATTGAAGAATTCTGCCAAGTTCAAGATTTTGAAGGAAGTGTGTGGCAAGTGCGATTCTTAATTTTAAGTCAAGGTTGTCAAACAAATTTAAAGGTAAATAAAACAATAGAATAAGCATAAGAAATTAGGTTGTTGCAGTTCAAATCATGTAACAGAAAAGAGAAATAACTACAGTAGTGAGTTGAACTGTGAAATCTTTATAGTTCAAGTGTTGAGATTAATATGTTATCTGTATCAAGTTTCTGGATTATGTTTTGTGTATTTGGCTTGAGCACTCCATTATAGCCCATTTCTATTAGTTCTACAGACCATATTAAGTAAACACTGAAAATTGTTATGCATGATTATGTGCTATATATGGTGCTGTTATGCAATTGTCTTAGAACTATGGAGAGTTTAGACCCCAACCTAGGCTTGGGGGTTAGAACATTGAACTAGTGAACCTCTATGTAGTAGGCAAGTGCTATGACTAACTCTAACACCTAATGTGAGTACATGCACATTTCAGTGGACTCCATAGTTTGTGTTATTTCTATTTTGATGTGCTGTGTTTGTGTGATCAGCTGCAATCCCTTAATTTTCTACAGGGTTGGTACAGCTAAGAACTAAAGGAAAATTTTCTCCATAAAATATCAAGATTGAATTGTCAACTTAAGATTTAGAATTATGCTTACTGAGCTGTGAGCTCATGGTGTTTTTTTTCCACCATTTCAGATAGTGGCAGTGAAGAGTAGCTGTTATTCCTAAGAATTTTTGTGGGTGGAGGCCCTATGCTAACTGTAAGCTGTGCTTCCAAAATCAGTAAGGCAAATCTGTATCTGCCCAAAACTTCCATTTGACTCTATAATTTTAACCTATCTGTACTGTATTGAGCCTGGGAATAGTATATAAAATGACTCTTTTGATTTTATAGATATTTTCTGCATTTTTCTTTCCTACTTGATAGACCTTTAGTTTATCAAAAAGAGATGTTACAGAAACCCTTTGCAACCCAAACAAAAATCCAAGTGTTAGCAAAAGAGATGCAAGAGAGGAAGCTGGTTTTGTTAAAATCGCAAGTCCAACCCCCTTAACCCATTGCCAGCTCAAACGCCAAGATTGCTGGAAACATACGCACAAAAGTCACCACAAACATTTGAGAGAAACCATGGCTATAACATCCTATGGGAAGGCTCAAATACTCTAAGTTCCTAGCTTTAATCTCTAAAAAACCACCCAGAGAAGACAAGTTTAAACCCACAAATGGGTACTTCATTAAAATGTTTGAAATTTAAAGGGAGCACATAAGCATGGGAAGCTCACTAGGCAGAAATTTCATTGAGTAGAGCCTTTTAGGCCATCTCCACTTAATTGAGTGATGTAGATAAGGAAGTAAATATATTTGATTGAGAGAAGGAAATCATATATTTATTAGGATTATGTTACAATATTGAAAATAAAAATGGTGATATTTACTATAGTTTATATTTAGAGAATGTAATTTTTCAGTCTGTTATGCACCTTAAAACATTAGTCCAGGTGAGAAAAGACAAACACTCCATTAATAAATATTCATGCATCATTGATTTATTAAGGGCATGTTTCCCTTTTCTAACCTCAGACTCATTTTTTACTACATAGCAAACTACAAAAATATTTCTGTTATATTTATTAGGATTTGCTATTTTCTTCTTTGGGTAAAGATTCCAATTAGGAGTCTAATTAGGTAGAGTCTAATTAGGGTTTTAGGTTTTCTATATAAGCATAGTTGTAGTAGGATTATTCAGTTTTGAGATGAATTGTAGTTGTCTTCCCAAAATCCCTAATTCAACAAATCTCTTCTCAACCTTTTTTCAGATTCTATTGTTCTTTCTCATCTTTGCCTCTAGTTCTCTTTGTTCTACATCAGTTTTGGTATTAAACCAATTAAAGATCTCAAACCATAAACTTCCATTGCTACCAAAAATGGTTTTCTACATTTTTTTTTTCCTTTTTCCAAAAAAGGGTTTAAAGCCAATAAAAATCCAACAAACTTGTTAAAAAGGTTCATTGTCATCTCTCAATTAAAAATAAAAAATAAAAGATAAAACTCTTAAAAATCCCTAAATTCTGCATATTGGATACAAGATGATAAATGCTTGCCTTAAAATGAACTCATATTAGAATTAGAATTTAGTGGTTACATCTTGGAATATGGTATGCAATGTTAATCTAATAAAAGAGTAAGCATAAATATAATCAATCTAAAATGTAACTACGTGTGAGTTATGGCTAGAAATGTAACTACGTGTGAGTTATGGTTAGAAATTTATAACTTGGTATGAATTTGGAAATCTAGTTCTTGTAAGTAATGTCTACTACTTGGCTTTACGTGAAATCCACACTTGTAGAAGGGTTCTAGAAGGGACCAATACTTGTTTTGAACTGATTTGTAGCCATGAACAGACTTTGGGGCACATGCTCTGTACTTTTGTGTTTTGATATGTAATAACATTAAGTGTGTGGTTATACACTAAACCAGTAATCGAAATAAGGATGGTTGAAAAGCAAAATAATCAGTGAGTAGGCAATAAAGATGCAGTTTTGCATTGCATAAATATTAAGACACTGTTTAGTATTGTTGCATTTTCTAGTTTTTGGTTTTGGTTGTCAAAATTTAAAAATTAGTAGTTGAAAACCACAATTAAAAATTAAAATTGCCAAATTATTGACAATAAATTTTAGAACTAATACCCAAAGCTGAAAACTTATTTTAAACTTATTAATTTTACTCTAGGGTTTCTAAATTTTTAAACACCAAAACCAAAAATAAAAAATCACAACCATGTGTGCAAGTCATTTTAGTTAAATGATACAATTGCATGTTATGCCTACTGTAATGTGCTCCTTAAGCTATGCTAGAGAGAGCCTGTTTTGGTTATCATTGATGCTTTTATTATATTAATATTTGACATTGATATGCTCAGGAATAATAAGATTTCTAGAAGCAATATGCTAGCTAGTGTTTGTTATTTATGTTTTTGACATGGAACACTGTACTTGCAACAAGCCAGGTGTTTGTTTGAGCTCTAATTGAGCACATAGGGAAGCTATGGTTGGTTGACTTGCACCTAGCTTATGTGAATTGCACCATATATCTGATTGGGGACTCTATAGACATCCTTTGTAATCAGCTAGTTAAATAATTGAATTGTTCAAGAAACAGATGCTATTATCTACTGAACTAGTTGATATTGAAGCTATGATCTGGTAGAACTAGTTTTGCTACTACTTGCTATATATCTATTAACTGTAAGCTAAAATTGATTAACACTGTTGGGTTAATAATGAATTGATAACTTATACTATGTTAATCGATTGTTCCTCTTAATTTGACTCCGATGTTCAACTATATGGCTTTAAGTTATAACTTAGGGTGCGTTTGGGATTGTGGTTTGGGTTTTTTCTTGTAGCCACACAGAACCTTTAGATATATATGTGTTTAGTAATTTTTTTTGGATTGCTTTTGGAAAAAACTGTAAAAATCCACAGCAAGTCCACAGCAGGTCCACAACAATTTAGAGGAACAAAAGATGAAAATTTGGAAAAAGCCAGGTGTTTGCTTTTGGATTGCATGAATTGATTTCTTGTCTTTCTTTTAGTTCTTAAAGTGATGTTTATCTATTTATATTTTCTTTGTCTTTTTATGCATTACTAGAGATGGTTGATACAAATGAAACAGAATCTCATGGAAAGGCAAGCTGGCCTTGGCATGTTGTAAACGAGTTTATTGATTTATGCATGAAACATAAAAGCTTAGGAAATCATCCAAGAACTCACTTCACAAAACAAGGTTGGACAGCTTTGGCAGATAGGAGTTAGATATAAAAACAAGTGGGATAATTTGAAGGATGATTATAAACATTGGAAGTTTCTTAAGATGAAGGCTACTGGTCTTGGGTATGATCTTGTGAGGAAAACTATTGCTGCGCCTAAAGAATGGTGGGATGCGAGAGAACAGGTTAGTTCAAACATAATGTATTATAATTAACCATTTTAACTTAATAGCTCTTTACTCACCGATAAATTGTCACTACTGGGTAGGAAAACTCTAAAATCAAGAAATTTAGACTTTGCGGAATAGAACCTGAGTTGGAAGAAAGGTACCAAGAGATGTTTAGTGGAGCTATTCCTGAACTTGATTTTGCTTATACACCTTCATCAGGAACTCTTCCACCAAAAAGTGACTTGAATGGAATTGAAACTTTACATGATATGAGTGGGAATTCAAGTGAGAATGATTCATAAAATGTTAATATTAGCAAGTGCAAACCTTCTAATCATCTTCAACACAACAATGATAATAAAAACAAAGAGAAAGGCTGGTGAAACTTCCTTGTGAAACAATGCTAGGAAAAAAGGTGTTGGAAAACTATATGGTCAAATTGATTGTTTTTGCAATTTACTTGAAAGTAGGAGTTTTGCAGCTTCAAAGATGAAAGATTCACATGGCCCTACTATACCTGAAGTAATAGAAGTATTGGATAATATGAATGATATATAGATAGATGGAAAGTTAGATAGGTGGAAAGTCGTATATGTTTGGTGTAAGGAAACTCCTTTGTGTCAAAGAAAAGCGAGAGGTGTTTTTTTCCCTAAAGCCTGAAGTTAAAGTTAGTATGGCTTAAAGATGAGGCAGAAGATGCTGGAATCATATATGATCAGGCAAATACATTATTTCTTTAATTTTTAGATGTTTAATAATTCATTAATTTCAAACTTTTGTTTAATTCCAATATGTCATTTAGATAGAAATTTCTTTCTAGAATAAAATTATTATATTGCATTTCATTTGAAGGTGGTGAAAACCAGTACCTTTTTTTCTTTTTCTTTTTTTCTTCTTTTCTTTTTTTTTTTTTTTTTTTCTTTTTGCAATGAATCCTATTACCCTTGTTTTTACTAAACATGTATTCAAGTTCCCTTACAAGAATTATGTTAGAAACAGATTCTGATGATGAGCTTGAGTTTGATTTTATGTTGATTATTAGTGCTTGCTTGATTGAGATTTATGCTAATACATATATTTTACAAACAACCATGTATGATATCTTACCAAACTGGTGAAAAAAGGTTGAGGGATATTTTTCAAGGTCAGGAAGCAAGATGTTTTAATATGTTTAGGATGACAAAAGATACTTTTTTCTTATTGTTGTGTGAGCTTGAAACAAAATATAACCTCAAGGGCACAAGAAGGATGGGTATGCTGAGATGCTAGGAATGTTTTTATATACATTGGGATGAGGTGCTAGTAATAGAGATGTACAAGAGTGTTTTCAACATTCAGGGGAGACCATGAATCGACATTTCCATTGAGTACTCGAAAAGGTTCTTTTGATGGCTACCGATATAATAGAACCAGCTGATAGACAATTCCAAGATATTCCTAATGAAATCCGTAGTGATCAAAGATATTGGCCTCATTTTAAGGTAGTATTAGATATATGTTACTTTTGTACATATATATCCAAAGTTATGTTCTTATCTAAGATGATTGAATTTTCTTCCTCATTTTAGGATTGCATTGGTGCTATTGATGGAGTTCACATATCAGCAATGGTACCAAATGAGAAACAAGTTCAGTTTATTGGTAGAAAAAGGGTTCCAACTCAAAGTATAATGGTTGTTTGTAGCTTTGACATGCAGTTTACTTATGTATTTGCTGGATTTCCAGGCATATGCCATAATGCATCCATTTTTTGTAAAGTAGTTAATGATCCTAATTGTAATTTCCCTCAACCTCCCGAAGGTATGAGATTGACCTATTCATTTTCCCCAATTTTCTCAAGTGATTATATTTTGAATTAGTTGCACAGAAGAAAGGATATTTAGGGCCATATAGAGGTCAAAGATACCATCTTCTAGGGTTCAGAGTATGTGGACCATCTAGTTTTCAAGAAGTTTTTAATTATGCTCACTCCTCACTTAGAAGTGTGATAAAAGGAACTTTTAGTGTTTGGAAGAAAAAATGGAAGATCTTGAATTCGATGCCAAGCTATGGGTCTAAAACGAAGAGGGGCATAGTTATTGCAATGATGGCGTTGCACAATTTTATTAGAAGGCAAAGAATACATGATCAACATTTTCATTGTTTCGACAACGATTCATATTTAGAAAATTTAGACTTTGATAGTGATGTGATGTGATGTGATGTGAATGTTGTTGGAGGGGAACAGGATGAAAGGATCAATGAAATGGAAGTGGTGAGAAATAGTATAGCTATGAGTTTAATGAGGTCATAGGATGATATTCTGTTTTTATTTTTTTGGGTGCTAGTTTTTTTAATTATATGGCTATATATTTTAGGTTGCAACACTATGAATTATTTTATGTGCTAGTGTTGGTCGATATATATATATATATTGCTTTAATTTAATCGACATAATGAAGTTCTGATCAATTCAATAAAACTCTATGTTGTTAAAAAAAGTTATGAGATTTTTTTCTAATTATCTAGAACTAATAGTTTAGAAAAAAATTTGGGAAAGGGATGAGTAATGTTTTGCAGAGGAAAAATTAGTCCAAGATCCAATAGGGAAAATATTATTTTAAAGTTTGCTCAGATAAAATATTTAAAATTGATAAGAATATTAGAAATATCTGATTTCTAGTTAAATTATTTAGTAAATATTGTCTATTTTAGTAATTATATATTATATAATATTTTTTAAATTTTAATTAATAATTAATAAAATTTACCATATATGATTCACTATACTTTCAAGAAATAAATATCCAAACACTAAAATAACTTTCAGCCACAACCACAGCATAACATAGTTCAGTACAACCATAGAACCTCACAACTCCAAACCCACAGCACCTCACAACAACTCCAAACGCACCCCTAGTCAATTATCTATTTGAATTGTGAGTCTTGCCAACATAGCTACACTCCATCAGGTCTCTTATGATCCTGGGATCTATTTAAAATGGTTTGTATTGATGTCTAAGGTCCTTGTTATGGTAAGTTCATGTTGGGTTTGACGTACTTTATCTTGTTTGTAGATAATTATTCCAGCTTAGCATGGATTTATATGATGAAGTCTTGTTTAAAGTTATTTTGAATTTTTGTGCATTTTGTTTTGAAATCAAAAATCAACTTTTCCACTTGTATTTGAGTTCTTCGAAGTGAAAATGCAAATTAATATTTTCTACTACATTCAATACTTTTATAACTCAAAATGAGATTATTTTCCAATCTTCATGTTCTGATCACCTAAAAGTGGGAAGTATAACAAAAAAATTCATCACCTAATTGAAGTAACCAAAACGCTTCATTTTCATGTAAATGTTCCTAAGAGAGTTGTTTTAACAGCATGTTAATTAATCATGTTTTTAGCTATTCTTCAAGGGGAGATTCCTTATTAGGTTTCTCTCACAACTAGTTATTATTCGCCATTGTATCAGTTGTATGTGAAGAATAATTTCCTTACATAATGACTTGGAAGAGATATTTATATGGAGCAACCACCTGGGTTTGTTGCTCATGTGAATCTAGATTAGTGTTATCAATTTGGATAGTGTCAAAAAGCATAATGGCCAAAATCCGCTATGAATTCATGGCACACAGCAAGGCTGCCACTATTGACAAAATAGTGGCCAACTAAAAAACAAAAAATATATATAAATTTGTAAACTAAATAACAAACAAAACTAGTAAAAAAAAAGGCATAAGATACCTAATAAACACTAAAATAGAGTTTATAAGTCACATGAGACAATAGCAATTGTGGCCTTTCCATTCATTTTCTGCTATGCCATTCTGTTATAGCAATCCCAGCAGCTACCATTGACAACACTGATCTAGACTAATGTGCACCTAAAGAAGTTAGGTCTTTACTTGTTAGGGTGGCTATTCATTGTTTGTTTGAGTATCTAGTCTACTTGTAATATTGTGATTACTGTAAATGACCAAGTATTACATCACTAAAACATCTTCTTTCAAAGCATTCTGAAAAAAGTAGTAGCAATATCCAAGCAAGAGATAATTTTGTCACAATGAATGTTCTAGAATTAATGAAAGAAATATGCATACTTGGTGCTAGACCGACTGATATGCCCATGGATTGATGTGTGAAGTTAGTACCAAGTGATGGTGATTTATTTGAGCATGCAGATGAATGTAGAAGATTATTAAGGAAGATGAAATTGTAACCTGGCTGTTTCTTTGGTAACTTGGAATTAAGAGTGACAAGTCAATGAAATTGTAGCAATAATTAACCTACACTTCATATTTGTATCCAAATCTAATCTGGTGTTCCATGAGATGAAGGTACCCAACTGATTGAAGTTGATTGTTACTTTGTGAAGGAAAAACTTCAGGAAGGCCTTACTGCTCCTACTTATGTCAAGAATGGTGAATAGCTTGCTGATATGTTTACACAATCCTTATATAAGGGTATAGTGAATATTCTTCAAAAAGCTGGCATGCATTATATTTATGCTCTAACTTTAGGGAGACTATTAGAAAATAAGTGGGTGTGCGTAGGATTTGAATCCAATATAGTGGGATTCAAATCCATCTGTCACTAGATGAAGTTTGTCTAGTTTTACCATCAGATTGGAATCCAGGGAAAGGGAGTTGACTCCTCAACAAGGTTAGCATATATTTGAGTGCAATATCAGTGTTTTCCTAAGTTCTTCCTGTTATGATACTAATAAAAATAAATTGGTCAGCACACTAATAGACTGATGCCACATATTCAACCATTCTTCTCTCTTATGCCCTTTATGGCTAAGCTATTGGGAACAAATAATTGATATCTAAAAGTTGATAGTTGTTATCTGCTCAGCTCAAAGTTAGGAAAGTAGAACTGAATTTATGAGGTTAGATTCAACCAAGTTCATATCAAGTGGCATATTGCCAAACCCCAAGAAACTGAAAGCATAAATTTAATGAAATTGGTGGAGATTGGAGCAGTTTCAATATTGGACTTAAAGTCAGCAGAGACATGGGTCATCTAATAATATAACAATTTCTTGCCTATTTTGGTACCTGTCTGGGTTGATTGTCTTGCGGTGGCCTAAAAATCTGCGGTGCCCCTCAACAGCTCTTGCCATATTACCTGAATATGATGGAATGAACACGTCACTTTCTATAGAAATGATGTAATCCAGTGCTGCAGTTTTAGATGCATGATTGGCAACTGGTTTCAACTCTTCCTCTGTTGCCAGCTTTTCCTGTCATCAATAAGAAATCAACTAAGAAGACACCTTGTGGTAGATTTCAGAACATTAGAATATTTTGACACTCCCATTGAGCCATAAACAAACTGATCAACCTTCAATACTAAATTTGGGAAACGGGACATGAGCTCTAAAAGGTGAGCATCACCACCATAGATATCACCTGCTGCAATATAAATTAGTGTAGATGGAGGATAACCAAGAGCTTGAAGAAATATTGCTGCCTCCTTAGGAGTTAGAGGACAGAAGCCCCCCCTCCTCTGTTCTGTAGAGTTTATCTGCTTAACCTTCCAATGGTTTGTGTTCTTCCTAGACAAACAATAAAATAAGCAGTACATAAGCAAACCTAGAAAGAGCACTTCTCTCATTGACAAACATAAAACTCATACTCCAGGGCAGTGTTGTCAATAATGACAGTGGCTGATACAGCAGCATAGCGTAGCGGCTTGCTATGCTTGCTACCGCAATAAGCCATAGCATTGCATTCACCCAATTTCAGGCAATGGGATTCAATTTTTTAAGGTCAATTGCATCTTTTCAATTTTCCTTTTTATTTAATGAAAGAAAAGAATCAAAAACCCTAAATTTAGACTTCAGTTTCAGCCTGACAGCTGTGCTCCTCCATCCCCTCAACTTCACTCTCCTCTCACCAATCATGTAACGTCTCCTCTCACCCATCACACAACCCAACTCCTGGGTGACCAAGTTCTGCCATTGAAGATCAGCAACTCAATGGTCAGCTTGCATCATTTCAACATTCTGTGCCTATCTCAAATTTTGCGTCTATATCCAAAGCCCACCCCTTCTTCAACATCACCGTATCAATTCTACCAAAGTCAGTGATTTAAATCATCTACATTTTAGTTGTAATGCTCAGAAATTTAGTATCTTTCTTTTGTGTGGATGCCAACTTGAACATTGCTTTTCTTCATTTCATTCATTGTAGTTGAATTAAGGAAACAGCATACTAACAGATTATTATATCAACTAATTGTATAAATTCATAAATGTAAAATTTTGTAATTACTCAATTTAGCTTTATTCATTTTTTAGCCAGAAATAGAAAATTATTCTAGAGTTAGATTAACAAGCAATGGATGATAAGAAATTTGTTTTATTCAATTGCAGTCTTAAATTTAAACAATTGAAACTTCATACTGCTGTTGATTTAGTTGAGAGAATCCAACACTTTGATCCAATTTGTCAGAGGTTCAAGCCCCCTTAATTCTGTTACTTTTTTATTGTTGATTAGAAGCTGTTAAGATTAAGATTAATAAGCTATTAACCCTTTTTATTGTTCTGTGTGAATTTTGATCATTTTTATAAGCTAATAAGATATCATGTCATTTTATTCCTTTTTCTTACTAGTTTTGTCTCTTATTTTATTTATTAAATTACTTTTTTTTTTTTTAAATGGCTGCTATTGACACTATCAAAGCAGATTTTGGCCTTTCCACCATTTGCCACTATCCACAATTGTAACACAGATGCCAAGGTTAGAGTTCTATATGTGCACTGTAGATAAAGAAGATTAGTTGATCCAACAGAGGCTAGATAGTTTGCTTAGGCTTAGTCTTGCAAGCAAATTCATGCATATCAAAGGATAAATCCTCACCTCATTATTCTCAACTCTTCAGATTCTGAATCAGTCAAACCATAAGTACAGCCAGTAAAAGCAAGCATGTCTTTCTCATATCTTAAGTGAAGTGCAATATATCTTCCTCGATGCGATCTGAGCCGTTCCACCAGCTTCTGTGGTGTCACCATCATGCATTCTCAAAACTTAATTTAACATGAAGCCCCATAGGAGACCTCTTAAATGCATATAAAATGTTGAAAGAAAACATTATCCTTATTTATTGTCTCAGAACCCGATTTGACTTGAAGCACCCCATAGGAGACCTCTTACATGCATATAAAATGTTGAAAGAAAACATTATCCTTATTTACTGTCTCAGAACCTAATTTGACTTGAAGCACCCCATAGGAGACCTCTTACATGCATAAAATATTGAAAGGAAACTTTATCAGTATTTATTAGGCCATAGCAATATGCTAAATGGATTTGTTTTTAGTAGAGGTGGGCACCAGCAGCGCAGGATACCATACCAGTGAATTCCTCAGTTGCTGAAACATTTTTCTAGTATTTGGTGACCTACCAAAAACTTGGGCAATGAAATGTTAATATTGGTACAGTTCCAATTTCTGTCAAAATACTAAAAATATATCAATGAAAATTCCTATGAAAAGCATAATCAACCCAAAACAAAATTAGTTGCAATTTAAAAATCAGTGTTGCAAACAGTGCACCTAGGCAGCACCTTATGCGCTACATGGTGCTCTGCTGCGCCTCACCTATGCCCTAGGGGGTGAAGCTGGACTTTTCTCCTTTTTTTTAGATTTTCTGATTAATTTTGGCATTTTTTGAAAGGAAAAATGCCTAGAGTGGTTAGCCTTAGGCTAGGTGGTGACCAAACACCCAACATCACCTAGCCCTTTTTGCAATAAAAGTAATTAACCATCATTTAGGCCCTATTTGGTTTAGCTATTTCATACCACCTACAGGCTATAGCTACTAGCTGATAACTAATGGCCCATAGTGTTTGAATTATAAATAACAAGTAACAGTGGGTATCCACTTTCAACTATCAACTAGTCCAACAACTAAAACGAACAGAACCTTAACTACAAAAAAAATCTAAAATGGGAAAAAAAAAGAAAAGAAAATGCAAATAAGAACCAATACAGAGATGAGAAAGAAAAGCACAGAGAAAAGCAATCCAAGGTGAGTGTGGCTGCTGTGGTGTCATGGAGACCTTACAAATCTTTTGTTCACTGGAACAGAGGATAGAAATTGTGTGAGGCAGAAAAAAGGCATGGGGCGAAAGGGAAAAAGGTAGACAGATTACCAGAAAGGCAAAAACTCTGGGGTTACAGAGGCTTGCGGTGGGTGGAAGACATTGGAGTGTGGATCAGAAGCAAGAAAGAACCAAGAGGCAGGCAAGTGGAAGTAGATAGGTGACAAAGAAGCAAATCAAAGAAAGGGGAGAGGCAAAGTGGCAGAGTAGATAGAAATAAGAAATGAGTTTAGGGTTTCACACTTACTATTTATTTTTCTGTTTTGATTAGAAGCTTAGAAATATTAAAATTATTCAAGAATTAAAAAAAAAAAAAAAAAGGGCCAGTAGGCTTTGGCAAATTGGGATCTTTCCAAGACAATTGCATCAATGGAACCTCTACCATCACCATCTCGCTGAGCTATAGGTAATTACCAGTATCGAATGGATGTGCCTGCCACTTGTTAAAATGCCAAAACTGGCAGGGCAATATCAGCTGCTGTGGTAGGGCATGGCAGAGCTACCCCTAGTTTAAGCACTAACACTGTTACATAATTGGAAAGGATTCCGCTTGCCCTTGGACACTGCAAATTTGTATTTCCTTTTTGAATTCCATAGAGATTGAAATTGACACAGAAATCCCAGAAATACTAGTATATTCAACATTCCAGGCTTTGTTAATTCAGATCTGTCAATGGCTGACTAGAAGTCTAGATCTAGAACAGCAGGACTTTTTTTGAAAATACCAAGTCACACATAGACTATAACAGAAGGACATAATACTAAAGAATAGAAATTCACCTTTCCTAAGCTTTCAATTGGGGCAGAGAAGCGGAGTGCATGATACATTGCACGGCATCTCAACCTCTGTATGTCAGGAGGTAGATCATTGTTTGCAAGTCGAGAATCAGATTTAGGAACATGTATCACCTGCAGAATGTAACTCAATGAGCATTCTTGTTTCTAATGTTTCCCTGATCAAGCAACCAAGATCTGATAATCGAGAAACATACAAATATAAGCAAGTGTTTATTCAGTTTTAGGTGAATTCAGCATGAAGAGACTTATAAACCTTGAATTCAGGAAGCCCCAGTGACCACTTACAATTTCAAGGATATATTTAAAGGTTTTTCTAACCTGTGCCCTTAGGGCAGAGGCTAAGAGTGCATTTATTGCACATTTTCACCATAATTTGTATGGAAAATTACAAAAGTAAACTTTATTTTCATCACCAATGCCACGATTTAATTGGATGGTTCATAAAACTAAAGTCAACTTTTATTTTTTCCATGTAAATTAATGGTGAAAAGGTGCAATAAATGCATCCTTTCATTCCAACCTTATCCCTATTAAAAGACTCAATAAATGAAGAGGGGAGACTTGGTTGGTAAAAGAACTCTTAAGAGCAAAATAAAAATTTCAAGCGATATTGAATGCATATCTATGTAATTGTGCCAACAAAAATATATGTGAAAACTAAAGTTGGACAGAGGTAGTATGATGCAACCTAAAACTCAAACAATATCTTAGTTGTTGAGAATAGGAACTAAATAAGGCCCTTGCTCTAAAACAACCCAATTGGACTTGGAACTCAACAACAATGTTTTACATACCTGATAGTCCTTCCACAGCTGTGTCATCTCTTTGTAGTAACCCATGCCAGACCAGGAAGTAAAGTGCTTCCGCACCCGAGGAATAGACTCCAAATCCTTGGGAAGCTCTTTAACAATCCTCACATCTCCTTGTAATGTTGTGATGAAATGAAGCTCATCAAATATATCAGAAAATGTACTGAATGGCAGTGGCATGATAAGAGAACACACAGTGAATGATGGAATACAAATAAAATAAAAAATATATATACATTAAGATATAAGAATGAAAGAATTACAGGTTTGCTCTACTCAAACCAGAAAATTTTGAGAATACCTTGAGTCTTGCCAAAAGGAACGCTTATCCATTTGAGGAATCACTAAGGTGGCATTCATTATGTGTGCCACAGCCACCATATCTGATATCTACAAGAAGACAACAGTTAGTCTGGTATATGAAACAGTTTGGCAAATGAATAAAGCATAATACTTGAAACCTGCATGCAAAAATGCAACAACAGTGAATCTGAACAACCAACAAACCCACAGAAAAAAGAAAAAAAAAAGAAGGAAAAAGGAAGATATGTGAGATTCTCAAATGGGTCACATGTTAATCAACACTGAGATTTTTTAGGTTAACAATTGTTAGAGTTCATTATGGATAATATTTATCATTGTGGCTTGTTCACTATATATAAAGAAATGTGTCTTCAACTTCAGAAGATGATAAGAATACTCCATGCCTTTTTTCTAGAAAATCACATGGTATCAAAACCTCCCTTTAAACCCTAGAAGGAATCCAGCCATTTCATTTTCACCATCACAAAAAGGTGTGCTTCCATTCATATTTTAAAGCCCTAAATCAACCCTTCCTATTTCAAAGCTCCAAAACAATTTTGGAGTATTCCTGCTCCAACATTATCAATTTAAAGTTTAAAGGCCTGCTGCAGTCACTTCTAAGTTCCAGATTTGGTGAGCACTGACCACCAATGTGATTAACTAACTCTAACGGTGGGCAAGTCACCCAATGTTCGATCAATTCGTTTCCTAAATGAATTGAGATTTCACATGTTGATGGTTCCTGTTCTGCTAATCGACACTCTGTTACCTTTGTTTTCTTCTATGATCTCAAGTGATATGTGTGTGGATTTTAATTGATAGAAGTGGTCTGTTTATATCCTGGCATGTGGTCTTCATGCTTTTGAGTTCTACAACTTGACTATCAATTAGTAATGAAAGTGAGTTAACTTAGTTGTATTTTTGTGAATACTGAATATGGATGCCAAATAAGCTGTAACCTCATTTTTTAAATCCTCATAGTGTAACCCAAAGTTAAATGGAAGTAACTTAATCAGTGGTCTAGAGCAATAGAGGCTTATCTCCTCAGTCAGGGTAAAAAGAATGATATTAAAGAAAGTGCTCCCAAAAGATGATGCAAAGGAAGAATGGATTACATTAAAAGCTAAATTCAAAATTTTCTCTCCAGCAGATTTTTAAATTTATGAGAGAAGAACTTACTTATAAAGCAAGTTTGCAGTTAAGCTCTGCTGAACCAGCCCAAATTCTTAGAACTCTATGAAGGCACCAATCACTGATATGTAACACACCTTTAGAGTTGTTAAGAGAGTTAGGATTATGTCCAAGAACTTTTTCTGGTAATTTGACACAAGTGTATGACTTGTCCTTAGAATGTTTCCAATTACAAATTACAATAAGGTGATTGATCTACAGAATGCTCATCGCAGGCATGTTCATGAGGAATTGAATGGTTTGAATTGTTAATATGGAGAACTGTAGAGAACAAGTTGTGGTACTTAACTTCTTGGCAAATTTGAAACTGGAGCTTCCTAAGGACAATTCTAGAGTTGATATCAAAAAATTGGTCAGCATTAGCTGCCTAAGTGTCTGATGGTAAAGTTACTCATGGTGGTTGAGGCCCACCTCTTAAATACACTCACTGGACAGACATTTTCAAGAGACATGTTGGAATTTGGTTGGTTGTCCACCCCACATTGTGCCCTGTGGCCATAAATTTTTCTACTCTTTGTTCTGCCAGCCGTTTTGTTTCTGGTATTACTACCAGAATTCACAGGACAATCCCCATATCAAAAGATGAGCATTCCAAGTTTCTTCACACAAGATTCTCTTCCCACGTCTCTGGCACTAAAGGAAGTATTTTAGTTTCTTGTATTTCATGTTCTTCTAGTAAAAACACCTCAAATTTGTGGATTCCTGATTTTGGTGAAGTGTATCTAGGTATTCTAGTTCTCAAAAGGGATACTGAGGTCACATTCTTTAGAAGTACTTTCTCTTACAATAGTCCTAAGGGTGTTTGGCATGGCAGCTGAAACTAGTAACTAACAGTTTTGTCTAATCCAATGAATAAAATTTTTTATTTTAATTTATTTGACAAAACTAGTACTTTCAAACTACTATACCAAACACCCCATAGTCAACTTTCTTATCTTGTTGACTCTATTCCTTTACCCATGCCTCCCTCCATGTAATCTCTCCATAGATTTTTTTGCAACTCAACCCGAAAGTATCCATGATCTAGATCTACCAAATTGGTATGTCTTAAGGGTAGTTGTTGGGCGGTTTCATCACAACCCAAATCAAGAAGCTGGTTAACTAAAATTTCCATTTCCTATTATTCACCGAACACCAAATTGAAACATTTTAGGTTTTATCAATTTTAGTCATCTTAGTTTTGGGTTTTAACCAAGAAGAAAAGTGACTAGAACAAAAGGAGGTGACAGCATCAGTGGGGGAATGGATATGCTAGAGTCCAACAAGATGGGATATGTTGTTTTGTAATTGATTCTACAGAAGAAAGAGTAAATTTTGAGTTTTTTTTTAATATCTCACTTCTAGATTAGGGGGAAAAACCATGATAATTGAGAATATAGTTATAAGTGGGAGAAAAAAAGGTTGATAAGTGCATATTATCTGTAAATTTGCTTCCTACAATGCTTTTGCACCTTCCTACTACTCATTTGTTACCTCTTGTAGTTTGTCTTTACTCCTAGCACTCTTTCTAAAGCCTTCGCTCATCCTGTTGGCAAGCTACCATGGATGAAGATGTGTGCCTTGTAGATTAATGAAACTTGGAATCATCCCCCTGGTAAATTGGCTATAAGTTGTACATAGGTGTATATAGTGAAAAGTACATCTTGATGGCTCTATTAATTAAAAGCTCATTTAGTGGCTAAGGGATACACAAGTTTGTAGCATTGATTATTCTTAGATCTTCTCAGTTGCTGAACTTAGCTAGGTTATTTCTTTCTTTCTTTAACTGCTACTTTCCATTAGTCATTATATCAATTAAATGTCAAAAATACTTTCATACATATGAATCTAGTGCCTGGTTTGGATGGTCTAGCCAAGTAGCTATGGAATTTAGTCTGCAAAAACCTGATCATTTAGTGTTTTCTAGGCACACTTACAAAAAAGTTAGCAAAGGGTTGCCAATTGTTTATTTTGGAATTATTGTCCTAATTGGGATGACAAAGAGGGTACATGATTTGAAACCTTCTCTCCAAAGCAAGTTTCAAACCACAGATCTAGGATGGTTGAAATATTTCTTCAGTATTGAAATTGCTTAATTATATGCTACCATCCTGATATCCTTTAAGAAAATATGTTCTTGATTAGATATTTGAGACAGGGATGCTTGGATCTAAACCGCTAAACACTCCAATCATGGGATAGTGACTTTTTTGGGGTTTCCTAGTAATTCTAAATATTACTCATAAGATGATTTGGATGCAAAACTCACTCGAGGAACTTGGTTTTAAGTAGTAATAACCTTGCATGTTATAACCCACAGCTATTCATATTGATTCCACTCTAGTGTATCAAGAGAACTAAACATATTGAAGTAGATTGTCGTCTTATAGAACAAGATTGCTAAAATGTAATAACCAAGTTAGTGAGATTTGTGGATCAACTTGTTGATTTCTTCACAAAGCTCTTGGGTGGTTCTAGGGTCAAGTATATTTCTAAGTGTTAAGAGTTCAAAGGGGTAAATTTATCATTGTGGCCAGTTCACCATATGTGTGTGTACATATAGATGCTTCCTCATGCACTTCAACTTTAAAAGACACTAAGGATTATTCTCCAAACCGTTTTCTAAAAAATCACAAGTAAAACAAAGTAAAAATAGATATTACCACAGATTTAAAACAACGAAGAAAACTCTGCATGTAATTGCATTGCACATATTAATAAATTCGGTGAAATAAAACAAGAAAGTAAATAAAAAATTGGTTACTTACACCAGCACGCATTTGATTCAATCCACCATTGCTTCTCACAGTTAGAAACCGGTTAGATCCTAGGGCAGATGGCATAACTGAAATGAGAACCATGCCTTAGAGAAGAGAAGATTTAAATAAAAGCAAAAGAGATAAAAATAAACACCAGAACTGAAATGAGATCCATGATAAATAGCACATAAAGGGGGCCAATGCTTGACACACAAAAATCAAAAGTGGCTTTCCTATGATTATAGGGATGGGTAGAAGGATCTTGTATTCAATTCTAAAAGAATATTACCCTAAAAGATTGCAGCATTTACCTTCGTACTTGGCAGAGAGCTTGATACATGGATGTAAACCATTACTAAAGGGAGCATCCCAAAGTTTTCCCACAGATGCCTGCAAAGAACGATGTAGCCCAATTATATTTATAGATACTAGTTTTCTCAAACCCTCATTATATTCCAAAGCAAGTAATGTAAATGACAATAGTGTCTACAAAAGCTTCTGAAGATTAATCATAATATAAATACTCATTACAGATTTTAGATTAAGAAATTGGAAAAATAATTCACACTAGTGTTGTGAAAAACAGTAGGCACTAGTGAGGCATTGGGGCACTGCCTAGTCCTAGGGCACCTAGACATTTTTCTTTTCGTTTTTCTTTTCTTTTAAAAAAAAGATGCCAAAAGATAGGAACAAATGAAAAAAATTAAGAAAAAATAAAAATTAGCACAGAAAAAAAAAAAAGAAAAAGAAAAAACAACTTAAATATTTTTTCTCATTAATAGTCTGAATTAATTGCTCAAGTCTAATGCTTTTGAGGCAAGAGGAATGCAGTCCTCCAAAACAATTATTACTCAGTCCAACAGTCCAAGCATGCATGCAGTGCCACTTTAAGCTCATTTTAAGATAATGATAAAATTATATCTAACAGGTTGAATGCTTGTAATTCAATAAAAAAAATGATCAAACTCAAACAAGAAGATTTATCTTGTTTAGATTGCACTTGCAGTTGGCACTGAGTTCACGAGTTATACACTAATCTCTGACACTCTGGTTGGTCCCAACCCTACTCTCAAACAAGAAGATATGCAATGCAGCAATTGCAAACAAACATACAAACCCTAATTCATTCCCTTCTATTTTTAGTTTCATTTGGCCTTTTATTTTCTTTAATACAACATCATCATTCAGTTTTTTCCTAACTGAGCCCAGGGGATTAGGCACAATTAAGCATTCCTAGGCATGGCGTGAGGTTGAATTGTCAGCCCATTCCCATTTACTTCTATAGGTACTCTCATGAAAACTGCCAAGTATGGTATCAAAGACAGTTGGGATTACATAAACACAATATAGTTCCTGACACACTTAAAAGTAATCTCTTTTTGGGTAATTGGTCAATCCAAATCCTGTTGGCTACACCAAAAAAAACTTTAACAACAAACAAAATGATGGGCCACATTTACAAACGAATATCAGAACCCTGAAAATACAAACTTTAAGGAATAAAAGCATTTTCAAGCTCATCTACAACTGCCCATTCACAGAAATCAGGGAAGGTCTCCACACTACCGGTTTACTGTATAACTTGTGATAAATAATAAAAGCCCCTTTATATGGAAAATTATGAAAGTAAACTTTATATTTAATATGACTGTTTTAATTCAGGTCGATAAAACAAAAGTTAATTTTTATTTTTTCTATATATTAATTAATTGTGCAAAGCTGCAATAGAAAATTCAAAAAAAAAAAAAAAAAGCGAGCTTAATGCCGATTTACATTTACTTTGACACGATTTAATGAACTCATAGTATGAAAACATACGAAAACATTAGCAACAGAATGAAAACATACGCAATACCAACCTGCAAATGTTGAGACTCAGACTCAGATTCCTGGGACCGGGAGAGTAGAAGCACCTCTTCCAAAATGCTCTGAGTTTTGAAGACGAAAACCAAGATTGAAAAGGCCAAAAGGACGACAACGTGAAGAGCAATTTTCTTGAGAGATTTCATACGAGAGAGGAATTTGGTTGTCGAAGAGGTTCTCATGAGGGAAGAGCCTCTGTACTTTACCATCTCCACGAACAGATCTACACCAGAAACAGATCTGCACCAGCAGCAGCATCACCCTCTTCCCTGCGCTCTACAGTTTGAGCTTGAAAGAGGGGATTTTTTTCTGCGAAAGGATTTTATTTAGTGAACAAGATAGGCCCCTTTTCACAGGCTGGGCCTCCCAATACGGGTGTTCGACTATCTTACTAAAATCCAGTCGGGCCGAAGTTTTAGATTCCAGCAAGGCATGGTTGATAATTGAGTTAATGCCAACTGTAGTCCTCGTACTTTGTGAAAATGTTCATTACCATCCCTCTACTAAGGAAATGTTCAATGTCATTCCTCTAATACTCTTTTTTTGTTAGATGTCATCCTTAATTGGATGCCATCCATTTTGTTGTTAACTTTGACTATTAATTGTTGAATAGTCAAACATTTAACTTTTGTTAATTAATTTTTTATCCATTAACAGAATTTGTTAACTCTCTATTAAAATAAAAAAAATATTTATAAGACCAATTATCAAAAATTAAAAATGTAACAATTTAATTCCAAAAGTTTAAAAAATAAAAAAATTAATAACTTTAAAATAATTAATAAATAACTTTATCATATATATATGAGAACAATGTTAGATATTTACAATTAGATCGAGTGATTAACTCAATCTAATTAAAGAAATCTAATTAAGATTAAAAAAAATTTCTTGGCTATATTTTTCTAGTTTCTTAAATTTTCTATCTTAATTCAGTTAATAAATTTTCCTTAATTTGAGTCAAAATTCTTTCTCCAAATTAAGTTAATCGTTCTATTTGATTATAAATATCTAATACTGTTTTAGTATATGTTTTAGTATATCTGAAAAAGTCATTTATTAATTCTTTTTAATTTACTAATTTTTATAGTTTTTGAACTTTTAGAATTAAATTGTTACATTTTTAATTTTTAAGGAGTAATCCTATAACTATTTTATTCCAATTTTAACAGGGAATTAATAGATTTCATTAATTTAAGTGCCAAAGCCAGAAAGAATAATACAGAACTAAAAAAAATAAAGAAATTGGTCCCACTAGTCCGACTAGTCTCACTAGGTGGATAAAAAATTAATAGACAAAGGGTTATTCTAATTTGTGTCTTAATGGTTATTTTAATTTGTGTCTTTAGCATATCGGTTAAAAGTTTTTAAAAAATAAAAAGTAATATTTAATTTATCAATTGTCTAATTAAATTTATTTACGTGACAATAACACTAAAATTAATGTTTAGTTTTATATTTTCTTATGCAAATTTATTACAAAAAAGTATCATTAATATGTGCTCTTAGAAAAATTCATAAACAAAAGTTGAATATTTGACCATTAGGCAATTAATAGTCAAAGTTAACAACAAAATGGATGGCATCCAATTAAGGATGACATTGAACAAAAAAGGTTAAATATCTTTTTTGGTCCCTCTACTATAGGAAAAAGCCCCTTTTTAGTCCCTATACCGAAAAAATCCCTTTTTGGTCATTACTGTTCACAAATCCGACCCATTTTTAGTCCTTCCATTAAATTTTGGCTGATGTGGCAGGTTAATTAACGAAACATTTTATTTTTTTTCTTTACTTAAATGACGTGTGAAATCCATCTGGCAAAACCCTATGACATGGTCAAATTTTTTATCTTTAATTACCAATTTACCCTCATTTTCTTCTCCCATCCTCTCCTTCCTTCAGCCTTTTTTTTCTTTTCTTTTTTTTTCCTTTTTTTCTTACCTTTAGGCGAACGAACCCACAATCAGGTTCATCGCGACGAACCCAGCGTGGATTAGCGAAGAACCTAGGAGCGTGGGTTCCTCGTGATGAACCCAGCTCTTGGGTTCGTCACAAACCTTGGGTTCGTCGCGATGAACCCAGCATGGATTCGCGACGAACCCAGGAACCTGGGTTCGTCGCAATGAATCTAGCTCCTGGGTTCGTCGCGAACCCACGAGCAAGGTTCATCGCAACGAACCCAGCGTGGATTCGTGACGAACCCAGGAGCCTGGGTTCGTCGCGATGAATCTAGCTCCTGGGTTCGTCACGAACCCACAAGCAGGGTTCATCGCGACAAACCGAGTGTGGATTCGCGACGAACCCAGGACCTGGTCAATCCTGCTTTCCTTTTCTTTGTTCATTCTCATGTCTTTCGTTTTTTTGTGAGCTCGTGTTCTAGATCAGTGGGGAGGACGTAGTAGTTGATTGGTTTCGATATGGATGGATTTGGTTTGGAATGATAATGACATTGTAATTGTAGTGAAATTTTTGCTGCTGTTGGGTTCATTTGAATCATTTCTGCTTCTGTTGTTGGATGTTTCTAGAGCTATTTATTTGAGAAGAACATGCTTTCTTTTTTTTGGTAGGGATTGAGAACCCAGCTGCGCCTAGGTTCGCGACTTGGCAAAGATTGAGAACCCAGCTTGTGCCTGGGTATGTCGCGAACCCAGGCGTGAGCTGGGTTCATTGCCAACCCAATCACACGAGCTGTGTTCATTGCCAACCCAGTCATGAACCCAGTCGCGCGAGCTGGGTTCATCCTGGGTTCGCAATGAACCCAGGCGCCTGGGTTCATCACAAACCAGCGAGCTGGGTTTGCCTGAAGGTAAAAGGAAAAAAAGACCAAAAAAAAAAGGCTGAAGGAAGTGGGGGTGACGTGGAGGGTGACGTGGAGTCCACATAAACATATTTTACACGTTGCATACCCACGTCAGCTGTTCTAGTTAAGTTAACATGCCATGTAAGCAAAAATTAACGGAATGACCAAAAAGGGGCCGGATTTGTGAACAATAAGGACAAAAAAGGGGATTTTTTCAATAGAGAGACTAAAAATGGGCTTTTTCCTATAGTAGAGGAACTAAAAAGGGTATTTAACCAACAAAAAAAGGATAGTAGAGGGATGGTAATGAACATTTTCACAAAGTACGCAAACTATAGTTGGCCTTAACCGTTAATAATTTTAATTAATTAATTAATTAATGTATAAGATGTGATACATAGGGACTCCTCTATAAGGAGGAGTGCTAGTAGCACTCGCTCCAGCACTCTCCATTTTAGCAGCCTCTCTTTTGTTTTGCCACATCATTTATACATTTAAATATTTGATGGGAACTTGTTTACACCCTTAACCTCAACCAAATCATTAGTCACTACTTTTATTTATTTAAAAATTAAAATTTGAGAATATATTTATCTTCCCCCTTGCATGCATTTCCATCCCTATCTTCATCACTCTCTTCCCAAACCAATCTTGATCTTGCTCCCTGATAATTGGAAAGCCAATTCTAAACTTTAATCTAACATCAATCTTTCTATTCTCCCTTCCATACTTTCCTCTCTTTAACAATCACTCTTTTTCCCACTAGATTTTTAATAGACTTCTGATCCATAACTTCATGTCAAGCTTGGCTTTTGCAACTTTTTTTTTTTTTTCATTGTAGGTGAGAATCAATAGACGAGTAAAATGAGAAATAGTACTATGAAATTTTCTTAATTTTCTTGGTGGTAATCATAAAAAAGGAGAGTAATTGAAAAATGTTGCAATTTGTATTGAGGGTTTGCAGAATTATGAAGGATTGAAGTAAGTTTTTGGGTTGTGGTTAAAAACAAAGGTGGATGATGACAGGGTGGGTGAGTTTGAGAAAGACCCTTTGGATTCTATTATTCTCATTCCTCTACAAAGAAAAATATTTCCAATAAACTTATGCTACACATTCCTCTACAAATTTAATTTCACTACAAAATTTTCCTCAAAATCTTCATAGCACAAAATGTACCCACTCCCTTCTACTGACATCGACAACGGCCACATAAAACATCCCATGCCTAGATACCTAAGCCCAATGACAACCAACAAAGAAAGAGAAAGGATAAGAAGGAAATGAGAATGAATGGGAAATAAAATAAAGAAAGAGAAAAGAAGAGAGAGGCATAGTTGAATGAAGATGGATCCATATTTGGGTTCTCAAATTTCTTCCCTTTTTCCCATGTCGACTCTCTCTCAAAAATACCCACAAAATGAGCAAAAATACTTGTAGATCTAGTTACCTTTCTCAACTTAGCGTGATTTTGTAGCTAGATGTAGTGCAGGAGGAACAGAGAAAGTCTGGTACAAACAAAGGATAGAGAAAGCCTAGTTTTGGTTCTAGTCTTAGTAGAGAAGAGGAAAGGATGAGTTCTAGTTTACGTGAAGGAGAAGAGAAAATAAGTTCAAACCTAAATTGTGGGGATTCTATTTGAAAAAGAGAACAAATCAGAATTGTAAGGATTTTATCATGACAGAGGAGGAAGGAGGATGGAAGAAGGAGGGAAGAGATGATTATGAGGGTATTGATGTAATTTGACTATTATGTGTATTTATTTTAATTTAATAATGTTGAGAGATGAATTTGTATGGCTTTGAAATTGATGACGCATGCGGCTCCACATTAGCAAGGACCCACATAATCTATTTTCCACATCAGACATGCAATTTCTATTTTTTGCTGATTGCTATAACAGTCAACATTGTTAGGAGCAGTGTTCATCAACTTTGTTGGAAATATTGTAGCTGTAACCCATTCTAGCATCTATTTCAATATACATGGCAAATCGCTATATCTATCTCTACAACATGGCTGGGTGTTTTTTACAGTCATGTCTTTCACAATGATATTCACAGTTACATCTTTTAGCTCATATTAATGGACAACATGTTATATCTACACAATTCCCAATGACAGACAAAGGGCCAGATTTGCTATCTCATTTAGCCTTCAGCAATGGGTAAAAGGCTACATATCTTTACATATTTCATTACACTGGCTCCTAACAATGGATAAAGGGTCAGATTGCTACATGCTTCATCTCATCGGCTCCTAGAAACAGACAAAGAGTCAATGCAACTCTGTACGATTAGCGTGAGGCCGATAACAATTGTAACCTTGTGATTGAATGGGATGGCTACTCTTCAATGATAAAAATCCATCAAGTAGTCTCTTGGTGGTCGCTCATGCATGGTGGTACAGTGCTCGACAGGCAACAACTAGGACCACCCTCTGACAGTGTAGGTACAGTAAGAAGGGCTAATGTTTGTCAATGGTATCATACCTTGTCGTATTAGAGGCCGTGGATGTGGTTGGCGTCCCCCTTCCATGGAAACAACTCAATATCTCTCTATCACATATTCATCACTATGGCAGAGTTTGACTTGGTGAGATTTACCCCTCTGTGACTTGGCAATTAGTAGGAGTGCTCTTCCAATTCCACACAATTCATGCTCGAGCCATGAGCAAAGCTAGCCATTGTTGCTTCTCTGGCTATGGGGAAGCTATTCATGGTTGACTCTATGATACTTACATGGCTGGTGGCCATGTGCATCATTATTCTTTCACACAAAGGGACAAAATTATCGGTTGTCGGTAATCTTGACTCATAACATATTTCTTTTGTGTTTTATGTGTTGATAGATATCATCGACCAGCAGTGCTTGACTCGGGACAACGATATCACAACACACATCCATATAGTTCATTCTTTATCTTGGCATAATGCCAGCTATATACAGCAACATTATACATGTGTTTGCCATGGCAAGTAGACAAAAGGGTGTAACAGACATTCATCCACATCATCCCTTTTAATACACAAGGGAATACCTTTATTCGTTGCACATATCCATATATTTTACAATTAAATATTCGAATATATACTCATTTATATTTTGCTTTCATTACAGATGAACACAAGCCCATGAATCCAAGCCCATAGGAATTACTTAGGATAAACTGTAAGAGTAGTGGCTTGGCAAGCATGGATGGGTGAACGTTGCCCATCTGGCGAAACAAGATATTCATACCAACGAAGCTTAGCGTTGGCGATGTTACTCGACTTTGCCAAAAAGGGTTAGGTAGCGAAGACGTAGAAAAGGACCTGATCCCCAAAACCAAACCATTTGATGCTAACTGAAAGCTCAAAATCCTATTGAAAACTAACTAAAGATGCTAATTTCGTCTCCATCAACAAGTTGTAGCTGTATTTATTACAAAGGTGGTTGCACAAGTTACACTGTGTTGGGAACTGTTGAAAAAGATTGCATTTTGCTTGGGGAATCTTCCAAAATCTTGGGTAGATTTTATATTTGTAGACTGCACTCAAGTACCCTCCCAAAGATGGAATTTCGTATGGATGGAAGAATTACCCAAAATGGGAATTTCTAGTTGATGAGAACCCCAAAGAGAACAATGAGACCCACAGCACGACAAGGGATTTCTAAACTCCAGGAAAGCTAAATCAG